GGGGCCCCCCCCCCCCCCCCCCGAGTCTTTAACTACTAAAAACTCCATCCTCTAGTTCTTCAAGATGGTATGATTGCAGCTAGTTTCCATCTCCACTCATAACAGCAACTGGGGCTTCGCTTCAGGCTAGAAGCTGTAAACAAATGGAAAACTCACCTACGGCTACTCATTTCTTCTATGTGTTGACTCCCTTTCAGGTTTTGCCTGCTTTTGGTCATTCTTCAGTGCTTTAAAGAGTTGTAACTTTCATTTTGTACATAGTTATTAGTTAGTCATGAGAGTTGGTCTCGTAGGAGTTAGTCTGCCATTGCAGGAAGAAGAACCAGCACTGGACTGTTAACTAATCTCTTTGATCTTTTCAGTACTATTTTCCAGTTCATGAATGTGGTATATATATCCCTTTATTTATTAGGCTTTCTTTAATTTCTCTCAGTTTCTTTTTATCATTTTCTGGGTACAATCTTGTATATCATTTGTTAGATTTGTTCCTCATTGGTGTTTTTTGACGCTCTTTCATTTTCTATCTCTTGCTTATATATAGAAATACAACTACTTTTTAAAATATTGACCCTGTACATAGCAACCGTGCTAAACTCACTCATTAATTCTAATAGTTTATCTGTAGATTTTTATCCTTTTAGTTTCTAGGTACACAATTATATCATCTGAGAATAATAACAGATTTTTTTTTCCTTTCCAATCCTTATACTTTTTACTGTTTTCTTTTGCCTTATCTCTCTGTTTAGGTTTTCTGATATAACATTGAATAGCAGGTGTCCTTGTCTTGTTCCCAATCTCGTATGTGACATTTCACAATCAAGTGTGATGTTTGCTTAGGTTTTTTGCAAATACTCTTTATCAGATTTTAAAAGTTGCCTTCCTCGGAGAGTTCTCTGTTTTGTCATGTTTTTTAAATCATGATTGTTTGTAGAAGTTTACCACATGTTCATTATGTATCTCTTAAGATGATTATAAGATTTTTCTCCTTTATTTTGTTATTGTGGTAAATAACATTGATTGGTTTTCTAATGTTTAACCACATTTGCATTCCCTGAATAAATCCAATTTGGAAGTGATGTATTATTCTTCTTATACCTTGCTTCATTTGGTTTGCAAAATTTTTACCTATTTTTAAGTACCCACCCACTCTCCACCTCTCCTGCCAATTCGTCAGTTTGATTCTGAGAAGTCTTCATTTAGCATTTATATTGAGTAAAAAAGCAGCAAATTAATTATTTCCCATTGAAAAACCTGGATGTTGATTTGCACACCATATAGAAAATAAGAGTTGTAAAACCTGCAACATCATTTTTCCAGTTTCCTGTGGTAGGATTTATTTTGTTAAGATGTCCATCAGTTTGTGAGGTTGATTATGGGTAGGATGGGGGTGCTACGTGTATAGCTGATTTGAGAGCACCTCCCATATCTGCCCTTGAAAAGATGTCTGTCATTACCACCATGAACCCTGCTAGAAAAGAGGTAACCAAATTAATTATTTGTGATACAGATCCATCTGTTTGACATTGATGTTCCTGGGAAAATTACATTTCAAGAATCTAAAACACTGAGTCCGGGTGATAGTTTCTCCACATTTGATACTCGTACGTACCAGATAAGTTTGCCTCATTTAGTCATCCCAATAGAAGAGGATCGGGTATTCCTTTCTTTTTCTTTTATGTGTCTCTTCAACTTCTTCTCATAACCTGACTGAAAGACTCGAGGTGAGAAAGGCAGAGAATAGTCAGAGATCTAGAAAGCTTGGCTGAATGGAGAACTAAGGGTTTAACATGATTTTGCTCTTTCATTTGGTCATAGCCTGCTATGATAGCTTCTAGCGTGTTCCTCTTAGGCCGTGATTGAACACTTCCCACTTAGATAATAAGCATGCAATTAGAATGGATTTCTCATCTCTACGCTGCTGAAATAAATGATATCTTTATGAGATGAAGTCCAAGTAGGAAAGAGTTTGTAAATTGTCTCCATCTATAGGTTCTGTGTTAATTTATCCCTGTCAGTGTTTTGTGATCAGTAAGTCATGGAGGCTTTTCCCTGCCACACCATGCTACAGGAGGCGAACTTTTCATTGTACATTTTCTATTTGGAAACAGCTTACTGCAGAGTGGGCCTGGGCATCTGCTATGACATCCGCTTTGCAGAGCTTGCACAGATCTACGCACAGAGAGGTGAGGCAGAGCCACAGTTGTGTTACGTAGGTACTTGGCAGTTTGGTTCTGGGCTGGTCTCTGTTGGGTGGAGGGAGCACTTAGTCAGAAAGGCTAGAGGAGGGATCTTAATCTCTCCAGTTCCAGCCCCTGTACCTCCATCTGGCCTTTCAGACTTTTGCTGGTATGGATGGTGGGGTTTTTTGGTAATTGTAATTTAACGTACTGTGTAGCTAAAACAAGAGCCATGCTCCTAAATGTCTTCTCTACTCTTGGAGCCCTTCTTGTTACTGTGTTTGGAAAGAGTCACTTGGAGTCCAGTAGAAATGTAGAAATATTCTACGCTCTTAGGGATTTCACCACTCCATAGCCCTAGCCTTTGGATACAGTAGAAATGTAGTCAGTGAGGGCTGGCCCGGTGGCGCACTCGGTAGAGTGTGGCGCTTGGGACCGTGGTGGCGCTCCCGCCGAGGGTTCGGATCCCATATAGAGACCAGTCTGCTCACTGGTTGAGCGCGGTGCGGGCATGACACCGAGGGTTGCGATCCCGTTACCGGTCACGAAAAAAGACAAAAAGAAAAAAAAAAAAAAAAAGAAATGTAGTCAGTGACATTTTGGTCCAGACAAGAAGTGTGCTAATGTCTAGGAAGAGCACTGAACCCAGTCAGATGAGATGGGTTCTGGTTCTGACTCTTTCCCTTAATTGGCATGATACTTTGGGTAAATCATTTAACCTCTAGAGCAGTATGGTTCTCAGTTTCCTCATAGGAATAGTATGAGGATTAAGGAGTGAAAACTTATAAAGCCCCTCATGTGGTACTCAACAAATATTAACATCCTTATGAGACTGCTGAAGCTACTTCTGATTCGACCATCACTTAAAGTGAAGTGGGTGGAAATGAGTTGACACTGAAGACTTGGGAGTGATAAAGCCCATAAATTTCTGTATTCATGGAGTTGACATCCTAATAAAGTTTGAATAAGAGAACCTAAGGTGGGAGCACATGGGCTCAGGGATTAACAATCTTTGTTGAGCCTTCTTAAAAAGCATTACAGCAACTACACTGCCCCTAATTTCAGTTGAAAAGAATTACAGAACATGGTCTTTGGTCATGGGGAGCTGACCATATTGTGCTGAGAGAAATGTGAATGACAGTTCACCACTTTTTTTTAAGCGAAGTCATGTTGTGATTTCAGTCGTCGATATCAGTTTTCTTCTGTGTTTAGATGTGTTTTGTGTGTGTGTCTCTAAAGGAATTTAGAGCCATATCTTAATGCTGCTGATGCTGACTTGGCTGGCATTTTTTAACACTTGGGAAAGTTTGAATTTGTTCTCTGCTGGGTAAGGAACAGAAGGAGGGACTGGTTGTTGGTTGTTCACCTGCATCCTGTTCTTCGGCTTTCTCTGCCCAAGGCTGCCAGCTGTTGGTATATCCTGGAGCTTTCAATTTGACCACCGGACCAGCCCACTGGGAGTTGCTCCAGCGAAGCCGGTAAGAAGGGAACTATACCTTCAAGCATCGCAGTGTTTCCTCTTTGTGGAAAGATTTCTGGTTTGGTGGAAGTACCAGCCTTACTGATATAGAATTCTGCTCCGACTCTGGATGCCCAGGCATCCAGATGCAATTAGAAATGATGCATCTACAGGGAAAGCTTCCACTGCTGGGCACCTTCTTCTCAGAAGCCACAGCACCAGTCTCATGGATTTTTGGGAATGTGGTGTTTACATTTTCGAGAGCATTCACTTCATCAAGTGGGCAGTGATTTTATTTTTCTGTGGTTAGATAGAGATTGGTCTTTCTTGAGACAGTTGCCAGAAACCTTTATGGAGAAATTGAGACCTACAGAGTTTATGTGCTCAGAGCCCATGAGCCAAGGAAAAGGCTGGGGTTATTTTAGCCTGACAGCCCTTGGGAGAGATTTGTGGTCTTCACCTGGCTGACTCTGTGCCATTCAGATTAGGGTGCTTATCCTACCCCCATCCTCCACACCGTCCTGCAAGTCCCAGTGATACTTTGCCAAGAAACTCATTATAACCTCCTGTTCTTCTGACCAATAAATCCAGGGATTTGCATAAGTATCTTTGGCATGTCACAGTGGCTTTTTCCTTTGTCCTCTAAGGCCGATGGGTGGTAAAGGGCAAATAGCAGAGGTGGATGTAACATGAGAGGGAAAGGGAGTGTGACTCTGTGTGTGTGTATGTGTGTGCGTGTGTATAAAGTGCTCGGCAAACCATGAAACACTGGTCAGAGATGACAGTTTTCTTCATTTAAATTTTTAAAAATTGTGGGCCGGCCCCGTGGTGCACTGCTACAGTGCGCGGCTTGGGAGTGCGGCGGCGCTCCCGCCGAGGGTTCGGATCCCACATACAGACCGGTTCCCGCTCACTGGCTGAGCGAGGTGCGGG